CAGGTCATATTCCCAGGGTCCTGGCATCGAGCCCCGCATCGGGCTTTCTGCTCAGCAGGGAGCCTGCTTCCCTTCCTCTCTCTGCCTGCTCTCTGCCTACATGTGATCTCTGTCTGTCAAATAAATAAATAAAATCTTTATATATAAAAAAAACTAATGAGTTGGCTTCATTAATGGAAATATGGGTCAGATTGTAAAAATCTAAAGGCACCATGTTTGAAGCTGCCAAACCACACCTACATTTTTTCTTCGTTCGGGCAACATTTTAAAATTGGGTCATTGATACACTGGGTATTTGGGGGGAGGTTGACTTGGAATCCAGAAATGCACTATTGAAAAATCTATTTGAAGGATTTGCTGTTATCAATATAAGTACCATTATATAGGATCTTTCCTTAAATGTATTCTCACTTGAAAGGGAAGGAAGGAAATATATACTGAGGTTTTTTGTTTGTTTGTTTGTTTGTTCTTTCAGTAGGAAAACTATATCACACATGGGAAAGTTACAGAGGGGTCAAATTTGGATAAGTATATGTGGAGGTTCCTTAAGGAATTAAAAATAGAGCTTCCTTATGATCCTGCAATTACACTATTGGATATTCACCCCAAAGATAGAGATGTAGTGAAAAGAAGGGCCATCTGTACCCCAATGTTCATAGCAGCAATGGCCACAGTTGCCAAACTGTGGAAAGAACCAAGATGCCCTTCAACGGACGAATGGATAAGGAAGATGTGGTCCATATACACTATGGAGTATTATGCCTCCATCAGAAAGGATGAATACCCAACTTCTGTATCAACATGGACGGGACTGGAAGAGATTATGCTGAGTGAAATAAGTCAAGCAGAGAGAGTCAATTATCATATGGTTTCACTTATTTGTTGAGCATAAGGAATAACATGGAGGACATGGGGAGATGGAGAGAAGTGAGTTGGGGGAAATTGGAGAGGGTGACGAACCATGAGAGACTGTGGACTCTGAGAAACAAACTGAGGGTTTTGGAAGGGAGAGGGGTGGGAGGTTTGGTGAGCCTGGTGGTGGGTATTATGGAGGGCATATATTGCATGGAGCACTGGGTGTGATGCATAAACAATGAATTCTGGAACACTGAAAAGAAAAATAAAAGTATTTTTAAAATAAAAATTAAAAAAAATTAACCTGCAGTTTACAACCTTGCTGGGGAAGCCAAGAAACAGTCTCATTTCCACACCATGCATGATGTTGTTCCAAAGATACTGTTGTTACAAGAATAGTCAAGTAGGCCACCTCTCTGCAAGAAGGGAAATCCTAACCAATCCCCACCCTCCTGCCAACCCCAGCAAGACATGCTTTCTTTTGCTAAATTACATACTTAGAGCTATTTGGAAAATTCTTCACCATCCCAGCACCCAAGTCCTGATCCCCGAACTCAGATACACATTTGCAATATTAGCATTAGTGAGGCTAATACCTTGAGGCAAGGATTCAAGGAACACCTACGTATTGTTGGCACACTTTCCTAAACAGCTGTTCAAAATCCTTCTGTTATGGCAGAGAATGTCTGATGGTCACAGGTGCCATCTCCAACCACGTGCCTGTGGAAATGCACAGCCCCAAGGGCACAGTCAATCCACAGTGTCTTTCTCACTGGCTACATAGGTCAGAATACAAACAAGAATGACATTATTGTGATTATCTCAAGGATTTTCATGGATCTATAAAAACAAACTCTGCAAATATTAGTACAACAGTAGCAACCGTTTCCTCGTGACACACCTTAAAGTGGCTGTGATGTCACCGCTAGTTTCAACAACAGGTGATCTGTTTCGAATCCCTGCTTTGTCTAATTCTAGTATTCTCCCACTTGCATTAAAAGCACCCACCCTTCATCTTCTGAGTAATTTAAACCCCAGAGACCCTAAGACAGTACATTTCAACCCTAGATGAACATCAGCCTCAGCCTAGGCCCTACATACAGAAATTCTGGGGAAAGTCCTTAGCATCAATATGTCTCAAAGCTCCCCTAGGCCACAAATCCAGCTTTCTGGCTCCACACTTTGGCCTACTGCCATCTCAGAGTGAAAGTTCCATCTCCTCATCCAGCTCAGAGGAGATGGTATTTGTTATGCAACAGAAATAAACAAAAACAAATAACAGAAACAGAAATAACAGAAGTAAAGCTGTGCTCTAGTCCACTGGCATGTGAATTATCAGACTCACAGAAGAGCGGGGGTCTAACACCAAGTTTCAAGGAATTAGAGCCAACACTGAAGCATCTTTATGGGTCTGGCCAGTCCAAGAGAACGGATGCAGTCTCCAGGCTTGCAGACACCAAGAAGAAGAAGCCAGAGTCCCTTGGTAATTCCCAGCTCCTTGCCTATGGCAACAGGTTCATCCACTGTAGTGTAAAGACCAGTTAAATACGTGTATGAACCCATGTACATACTCATGTTTGAATATGTTCTCATTCACATACCCATAGGCATATTTTTCAAAATCTATTTCTATACCTGGAAAAGTCTAAAAGAATACACAGAAAAATGTTAACAGTGGTTCTCCTAGGGCAGTAAGTTTACAGATGATTTTTATTTATTTATTAATTTTTTGCTTCTCTGCGTATGCTAAAATTTCTAGAGTGAACATGTATTGCTTTTATAATGAAAATAAACAGATTGGGGTGCCTGGGTGGCTCAGTGGGTTAAAGCCTTTGCCTTCAGCTCAGGTCATGATCCCAGGATCCTGGGATCGAGCCTCACATCAGGCTCTCTGCTCAGTGGGGAGCCTGCTTCCCCCTCTCTCTCTCTGCCTGCCTCTCTACTTGTGATCTGTCTGTCAAATAAACAAATAAAATCTTTAAAAATAAATGAAAAAATAAAATAAAATAAATAGATAAATAATTGCCTGCATACTAAAAAGGAGGAGAGAATCAAAGATCTGGGTTTTAGATCAGCTCTGCCCAGGATCTGCATGTTACTTTGGGGGCATGGCTTGTATTCTCTGGTTAGACTGGATCTCCCTTAGGGCCTTTCCCTTTGTGACATTCAAGGATTTTAACCATCCCTCTGCTTATCAATTAAAGTCCCAAGAGACATCCCCCACCCCACCAACTCCTGGCATGCACCACTCCAATTATAAATTTATATTCTGCCATTCTGGTTTCCCAGACCTGATTAGGCGCTCACCTTTGTATGAACTGTATGAAAGGCCCCAACCTTACGGGCCACGCTGAAGTTAAGCTTCACGGCCTGGTCTGCCTGAGAGCGACCCAGGTCAGGCTCACCTTTCTCTCCAGCTAGGCAACAATAATCCATCAGGCCCTGCTGTGCGAATTAAAGGCAGGAGGCATTCATACTTCTTATCACGCTGGGTCTGGATTAACTTCCCAGAGTCAATGCAACAGCAGGATCTATAAGCAAATCCTGATAGGACACAGGGCAGCTGTGTCACCATGGAGACGGGATGCCATAAGCCCCACAGGTTATCCACAGTGCTTGAAAGAGATTTCTCAACCTGGGACAATAAAGGAAGCTGGAACCCGGAAAAGAAAAAGTTTACAACCAATCCCTCGGTGACTCTTAAAAGCGGCCTCCTGAGTACCCCGTTGGCAATAGGAAAGGGGGGAACACTAGTAAGAACTGAGTACACGGTGTGTTCAACGTTGTATTAATTCCTAGGCTGTGTTATTTCTACTCATTCCTTATTCTGCAGATACGGAAAGTGGAGGGAACTGTGACCAGCACTAACAAAGTTCTACTCAAAAAGATGAACAGAGAAAATGCCTCAGGCAAAAGCATGAAGCTAGACATGAACAGATGCTGGAAAATAGGGAAGACGGTGAATCCCAAGTCCTTCCCCGCTCTGCCGAAGTGGGGTGGGGATCACTTCCTGGAGCAGGTACTCATGCTTTCTGTACCCAAGGATTCATGGATCCCCAAATTCTGAAATCAGCACCATGCCAAGGGGGCCAGGAGGGTCCCATCCCCCATAGCCAGTTCCACCACTTTCCAGCTGTGGGGCCCTAGGTGAGTCACCTGTCCTCCCTGAGACCTTTGCCACACCTCTAAAGCAGGCACGCCAAGGAACAGGAAGGAGCGGAAAGTGCACAGTGCACAGAGGAGGCCTCGCCACCGGTTACTCCCAGGAAACCCTTCTATGAGTCCTCTTCCTCAAAGGCTTTAAGAACGGGGCTCAAAGTGGGGACCTGGAAGATCCCCACTAATGGAACGAAGGAGAGAGAAGGCCAGAAGTTCTGTCCTTTTACCAGCTTGCTCTCTTCTCACTTAGGCGGTGGGCACAACCCACCCAGCCAGCAGCTCCCATAGAAATTAGGCCTCTAACCACACCTGCTCAGGGCCTGCACCATCCACAAGAGTGAGCTGAGCTGAACCCCGGCCAGAAGGAGCCTTTCCCGCCACCTCCTTCCGGCTCTCCTCTGCCTAATGCTCAGGAATCCAGATCCCAGTGAGGGGGAAGCCTCCGACTTGGCCTTCTGGCGACCTTTTATCTCTCCTGCTGGAGCGCCCTCCCCTCCTGGTTCATTCAAGGGCCTGGCACACACAGATAAGTAAAAGTGGACCCTATCTCAAACTCTAACAGTCCTTAGTTTCACCAAGGTAGGGCCATACCGGCAGAGCTGGACAGGGGTGCTGTGAAACCAGGAAGAGCACGCAAAGGGGGTCTCATCTTATACATATCTGCTTAGCCCTGACCCTCCCGCCGCCACTTTTACAGAGCCGAATGACAGACCTTCTCAAGAGGGGCAGAGACAAGAGACCACCCAGTAAAAGATTCATCAATTTCTGAAATTTTTTTTTCTGTTTTCATTTTTTTTTTTTTAACTTTCATGCGTCTCCCCATTCCACATGACCCCCTGCCACTGCCCAGTTCTGAGAAAGACTGAGTAAGACGCGCGATCCCCAGGTATTTCGAGACCCAGGTTCCACCGCGCCTCTTCACGGATGCAGAAGCTGAGGGCCGGGGACCCCGCGGGCAGTGTTCCCCCGGCCACCTGAGGACTCACAGCGGGTTCCAGCGCTCGGGCAGGCGGCGGTGCAGCGAGATGCGGTCGCTAAGGTAGATGTTGATCTGGTGCAGCCGCACACTCTCCTCCTGCAGCCGCAGCTCCTCGCCCTGCAGCTGCAACCGCACCGCCTCACCCTGCGCGCCCAGAGCGTCGTCGGGCACCGGCGGCCGCGGCAGGACCGGGTCGCGCCGCCCCGGACGCGGGGTGCGCAGGGGTCCCGGCTCCGCCGCCTTGGCCCCGCGCCGCTCCCGCAGCACGGAGCCCAACCCGGCCAGAGCCAGCAGCGCCAGCAACGCCAGCAGCGCCTCCCGGCCGCGCCGCCGCCCCCGAGGGCAGCGCCTCCAGGCCGCGCGCCCCCACATGAGCCCGCCAGCTGGGGCTAACACTCGGCTCGCCCGGAGGCGGCGGCGCAGACCCGGACCCGGATCCCGGAACAGCCGCGCCGCCCCGCCCCGCCCCGCCCCCGGCCCGCCCCACCTGCGCCCCGCCCCCTTCCCGCCCACCCGCCCCGTAGGAGCGCGGCCCCCAAGCCGCGGAGGGTGGCTGGTCTTCACTGGGCACACGCGCGGGCTTGCCGAGACTCGCACCTTCCTCTTCGGGCTGGGTGCATTAAGATCAAGTTGACGGCCGTAAAAGCCTCAGCTCAGCGCCTGGCACATCCTAAGCGCTCGGTAAATAGTGGCAGAGTGAGCCCTGCAGGAGTGCTGTGAATTTTACTCGCATATCTCATCTGACCCTTAAGCAGTCCAATAACAGGGGTAGGATTATCAACTCCATTTAACAGATGAGGGGCCTGAGGCACAGTGAGGCTAATACACACTGGACTGTGTCACTGAGGCCTGCAGGCCTACCAGAGACATAATACTGCTTAGATCCCTTCAAGAGCTAACCTTCCCCCCCCCACCCCCGCTTCCTGTTACTCCATCTCTGCGTTTCTTAGCCCTCACTTGGCAAAAGCCTTCAAGAAACTGACCAAAGGAATGAACCCCTTCAGAGACACACACGCATAGGCACCCCAACTATGATCGCGTACACCCCAGGCCATCCTTTCCCCTGACCTTGGCCAGAGGCTTCCTTTGAGGGGACTGAAGAAATGAAGGAGCCATGGGAGTGCTGGAAATATTTAACAGGGTCAAAACTAGAGTGAAGCATGAGGCTGTCTCCAAGACAGAAAATTATAGGGATGGGCAAAACCAAACAAAATTAGTAATCAAAAATAAACAATACTTTAAAAAAAAAAATTAAAATGAAAGCAAAAAAATCCCTGAACAAAACACCAAAATTTTAAAGAAAGGCAGAATCTGACCCTGTGATTGCACGGCTCACCTCACTGGCCTCATTCTCCCTAACCCCAGCCTTGCTTCCATGCCTCCATCTCAGTGGGGATTATGGATATCGAAGTAAAAAATCATCAATTTCTTCTTTTAAAAATATGCCCTTGACTTGTGAAACTTATATCTCAATTCAAAACAAAAAATAAATAAAAAGAACTAAGAGAAATTAAAAAGAGAGAGAGAGAGAGCAACTCTTGTCTCCTGCACCAACGCTCAAGTCCTCAACTTGACAGGAAGGGGTCCTCAGAATGTGACTCCAAACTCTGCAAGGCCTACCCTCACGCCACTGGGGCAGAGGGGAGCAGGGTCTCCCATTCCAAACCTTTGCATATGCTGTTCTCCCTGCTTGCAATGCCCTGCCCCGCCTGGCAAACCCCCCTCTACCCTTTAAGGCCCTGCCAAAAGCCACCTCTTTTGCGAAGACTTGGGCAACTCCACAGCCTTTCAGGCAAATGCATTTCAAGATGGCGTCCTCCTTTTGTGTATTAGTCAGGGTTCCATCAGAGAAACAGAACCAGGAGATATATTAAGAGATTTATGGGAAGGAATTGATCTACACAATTGCAGGGGCTGGTAAGCAGGTCCAAAATCCTTAGGGCAGGCAATCAGGAAGGGAAGGCTGAAACTCTGGCTTGAGCTGAAGCTACAGTCCACAGGCAGAGTTTCTTCTTTTTTAAGGCAACCTCAGTTCTGCTCTTAAAGACTTTCAACAGATTGAACCAGACCCACCTGGATAATTTCCATTAGTTAAAGTCAACTGATTATAGATGTTAGTTATGTCTGCAAAATATCTTTCCGGTGACCCCCAAGTTAGTGTTTGATTGAACACACTGGGGATTAAAACCTGGCTAAGCTGGCACATCAAACTGACCATCTCTATCAGTTTCCTGGGGCTGCCCTAACAAAGGACTACACTCTGGGTGGCTGAAAACAACAGAAATGTATTCCCTCTCAGTTCTGGAGGCTAGAAACCCAAAATCAATTGGTCCTATCACCAAGGTCCTGTTTTCTTGGAAGGCTCTGTGGGGGGAAACCATTTCATACTTTTCTCTTAGTTTCTGATGTTGCTTGAAATCCTTGTCATTGCTTGGCTTACTCATGTGTCCCTCCAACCTCTGGCCCCATTATCATTCTTCTGATGTGCATCTGTCTACATCTCTTCTACTCTTCTTCTAAGGACACCAGTCAGATTGGATTTGGGCCCACTCTAATGACCTCATCTTAACTGGATTATGTCTGTGAAGACCTTATTTCCCAAATAAGGAAATTCACATTCATAGGTACCAAGGATTAGGACTTCAGGTGTCTTGTTGCAGGGGCTCAATTCACTCCATAACACCATCAAACTTTGTTAAAACACTTGGTGCATTGGATCGTGTTTTATTTAACCCTAGCCTATAACGACGACGACAACAACAACAAATGTAAGGGACAAATGAGTGGTGATCACTTCATGATCGCAGAGCTTAGTAGTGTCAGACACACAGAAAGTGCTCAGTTAATGTCTGGCTTTGTTTCTTATGCTGCCTTCTGTTGACATCTGTTTGAACTCGCTGGGGAGGTATCTGACGGAAGGCACAACCTGGTTAAAGGCAGGGAGCAGTTACTCCCAAAATGTAATGAACATGAATTCTTGAGGTCTTGTTGCTAGAAAGCCCTCAGTGGTAACTCAGTATGGGAGTTTTCAAAAATCTGCTCCCAGAAACCTGAGGGAACCACCCAAGAAAATAAAAAGAGGCTGGCTGGGTGGGACACCCCCCCCCCACCGTGTTCCCTTCCCTAAAATCAGAACATTGACACTTATCTGCTTAATACTTTGAGCTTCCCTCTCAGATTATAGTACCCTCCTCCCTAATGACCAGAGGAACTGGTAATAACAACCAGAGAAAGTGTGTTGCGCAAGCCCACAGCAGGTCAGTGGCAGAACAGGAAATAAAACGATGTAAAAAGGAGGCTGACACCAGTGGATATCTGCCAACATCCACCCTCCTCTCTTTACTTAAGAGTAGAACTCTTGAGTTTTTGCTTGTTTGTTTCTCTGGCCCCATGGTGTAAAGACCAGGCATTCTAAAGCCTAGCATCCCCAGCCTACTTCGCAGGTAGGCATGGCCATGTGACTGAGTGTTCAGCCAATGGGCTGTCAGGGCAGTTGTCAGATGGTGCTTCTAAGGAATGTCCTTAGAGGAAACTTCCTTACCCTTCCTTCTTCCTGCTGGCTGGACTGTGGATATAAAGACTAGAGCTCAAGCAACCACCTCGGGTTATGAGCTCAAAGGCGTGCACTGAGGGTGGTGAAACCATAGGGCATCAGGAACCAGGTCCCGGACGTTGTAGACATTGAACGAATCCCAATGGGCTCCTTCCAGGCTTTGCTTATGTGAGGGAGAAATAGGCTTCTGTCTTGTTTGCACCACTGTTCCTATGGGTCTTCTGTCCTATGCAGCCAAATCTAATCCTAAGTGATATGCAGGATAAATTGCACAAGAATTCCCCCCAAATCTGGCTCTGATAGTGTAGTGGTTTTAAAACGAAGCTGCAAATTATCAGATACTCCCTCACGTTGAATCGGGGCAGACCTGTAACTGCGTCAACCATTAGGTGATAGTAGAAGTGAAGTTCTGTGACTTCCCTGGCTGGGAATAAGAAGGCACAAAGCTTCCATCTTGTTTACAGGATCCCTGTTCTTGCAGCCTTAAGCTGCCAGGGAAGAAATCAGACTATCATGATATCGTTGTGCTGGAGAAGTCCCAGGTAGGATATCTTGCCCACAGTGCCAGCTGTGCCCAATCCTCTGCCGGCCCAGCCAGCCCAGGCATCAGACAGGTGCGTGAGGAAGCCATCTTGAAAGTGTCTCCACCCTGGCCATTTGAGTCACCCCAGCCATCCAGGTCACCTCATCTGTGGCCCTAGACATCATGGAATGGAGAAAAGAGGTAGCCTTTTCAAGTTCTTGACCCACAGAATCCATGAGTATGATAAGGTGGTTCGCATTTTATACCATGAAGTTTTGCGATGGTCCATCACTTAGCAATAGATAGCTAGAACTAATGGATGATTTTAGTCAACAGTATTTTTAATTCAGGAAATATTTATTGAGCATCTACTATGTGCCAGGGTCTAGGGTCTAGGCATGCTATAATGACCAAGTGTCAAAGAGAAACAAAACTGCTGAAGTGGTAAGGACAGATCTTAATCAGTAATGGATGACTGCACTAGAGAAGAGGGCCTAGCATGAACAGATTCAACTTTGATTTGACCAGAATGACTGGGCATTTTAAATAGAGTCAGGGAAGTGAAAAATTACAAAAGCGTGATCAGCATAAATGCTGATGATGCCTGCTGTATCTGTGGTTGGCAAGGATCAGAGTGAGGATTCTATCCTCCCAGAGGCTTATAAGGCAGAGGCCCTATCCTTCCTGATGATATTGTAAAGGAATGGCTTTCAGTCCTTGGGAAAGACACTCTTGATTTGTAGGAGATACACATACATCTTAAAGGGACAGAGAAAGTACTTATAATTATAAGCCCTTCTTAGCAAACTCTCTAAGAAAGGGTGGTTAGGGGCCGACAGTTAGGTATTAGCTATGATAAACAGTGAATTCTTTGGACAGCCATGTGCTTCCTCCAGCAGATACTTAAGGGGAGCTGGGGACATCCTACCAGTGCAGCCTTGAGCTGTTAAAAACTGTCAGTGTTTACATCTTTAATGTGAAGGGAAGTAGGTGTACAAAATCACCTATGTTCAGACTCTGTCCTCATTACAGGCCAAGGTTGAGGCCTAGTTGAGAAGGAGGCTGAGAGGAGCCTGGCTAGGGTTTGATCAAGGAGAGAGTCTTTGTTGCGAGAGATATTTTTGACATCATGGTGCTTACAGGGCAATGGAACAGACAGATATTAAAAAGGTAACTTACCAGAGTTGTGGTTAGTGTGTTGAAGACAAATTACAGGGTGCTGTAGTTGAGGGGTTTAGAAAGACTTCACTGAGGAAATAATGTTTACATGGATATCTGAATTTAACATACCAGAGA